CCCCTGTCAACAATCCGTGTTGTTTTTTTTTTTTTTTTCTATCGTAGTTTTTCACTTCCTGAGACAAATGGAGGTTGGGATGGTAAAAAGAACATGAATGGGGGTAAATGGCTACAGAGAAGAGGGCACTAAGGTCAAAGTGAAGCAAATGCATAAATAAATATTTTCCAGCCTGTCGTAGGTTCTGGCCTGTCGGGATGAGAGATGAGAGGAACGAGTAAAGGCGCCACACCGACAGGACCCAGCGTGTGCTGCGGTGTCAGCCGCGTACGTTTGTGTCTTTGTGAGTGAAGTTGTGCCCGGGTGTGTGTGTGTGTGTGTGTGTGAGTGTGTGTGTGTGTGTGTGAGTGAGGGCGACACAGACGGAATGTTCTCGAGAGGGTCTTGGCACTGTGTGGCTTAGACTCAGTTCTGCTGCAGGATCAGGTTCTCCAGCTCGTCGGCCGAGCGGAGGAGGAAGGCCGCGGACTCCCGGTACCCTGCGATGAGCTGCCTGACCGCCGTGACCTCTGGAGGGCTGAGCTGAGCTGACGCCCCGCCACTGCCACCGCCCTGACCATGACTGTTAGAGCTAGAGGAGGAGTTTGGGCCCACGGACTTCATACTCAGATCGGTGGGACCTGGGTGGTGGACGCATGAGAGACGGTGGTTTAGAAGTTTTTAGGATTTTTACCAGACATGGCCCCCATGACTCCACTTTTCAAGACCAATACTGATACTCTACCCTGGAGTATTTGTACAGTATTCTTCTTTTCAATATGTAATATTTCTACTTTTGATTCAAACCCACATCACTGGTTCGACAGACTTATCAGCACTAAAAATAATAAAATAAAATATGACGAGAAGTGCATCAAACCAAACTCCACCCTGAGTTCTCCGACCGGATCGTCACTCATTTTTTGACTTGGTTCCTACTGTATCTGACAGACGGTTGCTCACCATTGGTTTGCGTTGCTCCAGAGTGCTGCTGGTTGCTGCTGTTGACCGACCCATACCCTCGCAGGTTGTAGTTGAGGCCTCCGTTGGTATAGGCTTGGTCCTGGGCAAAAGCTGCACTGGAGATAGAAAATGCTGTGGGAGCGGCGGGGGCTGGGTCCCTTAGGTTGGATTTGTCAGCAGACGGCGGCTCGTCCTACGACAGAGTGAAAAAACTCCATGAGAAATAAAATTACATCGTCTTTTCATACGTATGTTTAGAAGGATTTTTAAAAAGAATTGTCTTGACATTTTTCCCTGTTAATAACTCCATTGTTTGGATTATTTGGCAACAACAGGTCTATACCTATATATACATGGTATGACAGAGCCTGGATAGCTCAGTCGGTAGAGCATCAGACTTTTAATCTGAGGGTCCAGGGTTCAAGTCCCTGTTCAGGCGAAGTTTTTCTGTAATTTCCCAACCTGGGATCAATAAAGTACATTGACAGATATAGCTGTAGATATAGTGTATAAATACACATGTATGTGTGTATTGTATATATATATTAATATATGTATTTATATATTTATATATGTATTTATATATATTCATATGTTTATATTTATATATTTATATATGTAATTATATAAATATATTTATATATATATTTATATATTTTAATATATATAAATATACGTATAAATATATATATTAAAAACACAGCCGAGCTAAAAGGCGATGTCGTGGCCAAAGCCGGGGTCCAGGGTCCAGGGTCCAGCCTCCCTCTGATGATCCACGTTTACCACGATCATCAAAATTCCCAGACGCCTGCTGGGCTCGTTGTCAAACTGCAGCAGCCAAGACATTTACCGTAGCCTGATAGGTGTCGAGCCTCATCCTCTTGGCAGCATTTCTGGTCTCGCTCTCACAGGCAGAGGCAAGAATGTTCTCAGCCATGGCAGAGGTAAGGTGAGGAGGTGTTGGTCGTATCTGGCAGCACGGGGGAATTGAAATGATAATATATTTTTAAATATATATATTCTCGTGTGTGTACATTATATTCACAGATATATTGTTGTCTCGTACCTCAAAACCTCCTTTTTTCATCCGACGGCAGGATTTGAGGTAGGTACGGATGCGCTTGCGGGAGCGCTCCTGGAATTCTGGGAACTGGCGGGTGCACGACTCAATGATGGCCTGGATCTTCTCCTTTGGCTGTTTGGAGATGGGCACCATGCGGTCCAGGTTCTCATCGACGAACAAGCGCACAAACATCTGAGGGGGAAGAGGAGAGGAGAGAGAGGAGAGGGGGGAGGGAGGTGCCACGGTTAGAAACAAAAACATGGAAGTGGATGGGGGGGGGGTTGGAGATGTATGTAGAGAAAATGAGGTGAAATATATATAATATATGGGGATTTCAAGGCTACGTCCTTGACTGCTTTCATTTAAAAGACCATGTGTTGTTTTCTATGCAGCCAAACAGCACAGGTGGAGGTCAAGGGTCAATTGTGGAGCAGATGCTCTGGATTGGCCTGCGTGCTGGCCAGCAATTTTCTAAAGGGTGACCCTGAGCACCCCTGTGGGGCGCCGGTGAGCTTCTGTTGGGTACATTTCTGAAGATGAATCATAGAAAGTTCCAGCAGAAACATTTAGCAGGATTTGACCACTACGACAACTGGTCATGTGACCTACGTTGAAGGCTTTAAGTCGCTCGGGGTCCATGCCCTCGGCATCGTTAATCTTGTCGCTGTCGTCGTGGTCGTCGTGCTCATCGTCATCGTCATCGATGATCTGCGCTCGGCCGGAGCTCAGGTCCTCGACGCTCATGCTGACGTCAGTTTTCACCGAGTTGTAGCTTCCTGAACTGTAGGGAGGAGACTGCACAGATCCAGACACAGAAGAACGACGGTGTTACAAACCACAGAAGTGGACGAATCAGCCACGATAACTTCCTACTGGTTTAGGATTTGTAAGGATTAAAGGACACAAAGGAGGCAGTAGGAGAGAATCAAAGGTGTCGTCTTTGTTTGTTGTTGGTGGAGAACTACGACGTTCAAAGTTTGAACCTTCAACTTCAAAAGTCATTCCGTTGGAGTTTTCCTCATGAGGTCGGACATTTCAGATTTCTTGTGTTTTCTCGAACTCACCATGAGCCACATCCTTGTTGCTTCTGTCTGTGTGTCATTTATTCTATCGTTTGTATAATGAAGTTGTTAGATGATAATATTAACCAAATGATTTTTTACATTTGTTAAATTCCAATAAACCGACTGCTATCTTCATGAACTGATCTCATCCATTACAGACTGATACACACACACGGGGCAGGTTTAAAATTCCGTCTTAAAATTAAAAAATCCTCATTAGATGCTCACTGATGATCAGAAGAATATATTCCTGTTCTGCCCTCACCTTGTTGGTGTACTCTGTTTTGACGGGGTACTTCCTGTTGGGCTCCGCGGCGTAGGTATTTGACAGTGAGCCGCCCGTCAGCCGATCGCTCAGATTGACCGGCTGCTGGTCGTCTGAGGACGGTGAGGACGAGGTGGTGCTGAAGTCCAGGGGGGCACTGACACCGTTCTCCACCACCTCCACGTACGGAAGCCCACCATCTGGGTGGTTCCCAGCGACAGTCAGAACCTCCGGGGAGGTCAGGGCCGGCAGCCCGTTAGCACTGCTGCTCACAGAGGAATCATCGTCTGGAGGAAACGGGAGGAAACGGGAGGAAGTGGGTTTATATATAGATTTGTTAATAAGATTTTAATGTAACATCAACAGGTTATTTTTGATTTCTCAGAAATTAAAAGGAAGAAATTAACTGAAGGGGCTGAGACTGGAAACTGCTTATTATGATTATATATTTTCTCAGAATGTTTTGAATGTCCTGTTGTGTAATTGTATATAAATAAAAAAAGACAAATCCAGTGCCTGGTCTTGGTGCAGGTATGAAAGCAGCAGGTTTTCGTGTTCTCACCGTCTTCCTCCTTCACAGCTGCTGCTGTGTTGTTGGCTTGTTCTTCATTAGCTGGACTGGACTCTGGCACCGACGGCTGCTCAGCTGCGACCCACGTGGGCTCAGTGCCGTTCATGTCCTCACTGCTCACTGAACTGTCATCCTGGGGAGAAGGCAGCAGAAGGACAAAGACAAGACGGGGGGAGAGAGAGACCGAGCGGAGGGCTGAGTGTTAGGAGGATATTTGGACAATAGCAAGAAAAATAAAACTTGTAGCACACATAAAAAAACCAACAACAAAACGCCCTCTTGTGACTTTAAATATCTGTTTTTTATTGCCTTTTTTAAAACTACAGGTAAAATTATTGGTATATTATGGAGTAATTTAATAAAAATCGCCTTTGTCATCATGCTATATATAGTTTTCCTTTGATTATGACGGTCTTTTGTGTTGCGCTAGCTTTGGCTGTGGCGGCGCTAATGAGCAAACCCCCATTTCACGATCTATATATGCCAGGCATTGTGTCCTGTAGCTCTTGTAAACTTAAATTATACATGCCAGGCATTGTGTCCTGTTGCTCTTGTAAACTTAAAAAATTAAAACCATAATACGTCATTCGTTTGTGGCGGTGGTTTATTCACTGAGATTCACACAATTAATGACACTAAACACAGAGCACGTTATCAGGCGCTAGCACGTACTTAGCAATGTGCTAGTACACGTAGCCTCGCTTCTTTTACCGAGTTACCAGTACTGTAGATCTGAAACGTTGTTTCATTGCTGCCTTCTACTGGCTCTTTTTCGCAATTTTAAATTTTGATATGAACTAGAGGACGAATTAGTAACTTGTAACAAAAGAGAAAAACAGTAGTAGAAACATTGCTGATGTTCACGGGAACAAATCTGTTTTTTTTAAATCACCTCAGGAAATTAACTTAAAATGATTATGTGTGTAAAATTATTAAAAAATACTGTTTTGCAAGTGGTTAGAATGAAAACGATGTTTGATGTGTGCTAACAAGGCTAGTGCTACTATGCTACGCTGCTTCCTGTACCTCTGGCCAAAAGCCCAAGGTGCATTTTTCTGGACCATTAGCGATGGGCAGAGTCAAGTCCCAGATGGTGTTACAGATGTGGTCCAGTTCTGACAAGGTTTGGCTGTTGAAGGATATATTTATCCACAACATACTGTTGTGAGACAGGCCCAGGTTTGGACGTTTGGTTGGTGTGTTTTAAAGCCCAAGTTTAATAACACTAGCACAATATTTCAGTGCGTGATTTTGTAAAAAAAAAAAAAGTAAAAAACAAATCCTCTCTTTTAAACCATGCTCCTTCAGACTCCAAAGACACACAAATAAAAACAGCACAGATGCCACAAACACAATGCAAAGCTTCACGGAGTGATTCATCGCGGACGGAGCCGGCGTTCGTCACAGGAGGTGTGACGTTAACTGTATGATGAGAGCGGAGCAGATTACATCTCATTCTTCCACACTTCAGCACACAAATAGGCCTAAACTCCTGGGAATACGGAGCTGTCCCTCTGTAAGGAGTTTGAGGAGGACCAAAATGCTCAGTGACAGCTCTATTAGGCAGCAAGTGAGCCATACAGCATTAAAGAGAAACAGAGAGAGGGAGGGGGATGGGAGGGGAGGGGGGGAGGTACGGAGGGAGAGTCCTAACCAAATCATTAATGTATTTGTGTAAAAAAATATACGATAACTTTCCTTTTTGTGTCAAATTTCAGTCGATTCATTTGTTATTTCAGAGCGTCCACTCCGACTGCCCCACGGCTAATTATTTTATGACATTAACGACAGGAGAACAGAATCAAACGTCAACTTAAGATGACTTGCAAATATCTAAAAAACAAAAAAAATCACAGTTTGATTTTTAACATCTGTATTTGTGAAACGAGGAAATCTATAAATATATGGAACAAATGTACACACAAAATAACACCTCCTGTACAAGTGTCTCTGCTCCTTGAACCAGTGGAGCAGATATGTTGAACCACTGCAGCACAGATCTGGAACAAATGACTACAACACAGGGCTCACCCGCACTCACGGTTAATTATTAAAATCCGTGGGACCTTTCCCTCTCAGACTGCACACAGACACAGATGTGACCAGGAGTCTGAGCGTTTGTTCATTCGTACTCACCCATGAATCACAACCCCGGCTCATTGTTCTGGATAATCCTAATTATGCACGAGAGAGGGTTATTATCATTAACAAGCACCGCTCCCTGTACTTTATTGATGGGGCCGTGGGTTTCAGTCACAGCGACATACTGACCGTGCCTCCTCCTGATTGGCCAACAGAGTTAAAAAAGGTCTCTCTAATTTTACACAGATTAATTCAAAATGATTTTCACCCCTGTGACCCCTGTGACCCCTGCTGTATTTTCACCAACACTAGACTCAGTCGACCCCTGTGACCCCTGCTGCGAACTCACCCACTGTCCTCTTGTACAACAGGCACTTACCCTTTCATTGGTGTTCATGCACTGCAGTTTCATTTGTTTCAGGTAGGTGGCAGTCAGAGGCATGTTGTAATCAATGAGGTCCGGGGCCAGTGAGGTTGGTCTGTCATTTTCTGAAAAAAACGTGATGAAATGTGTTAAAATTATTATTTTTTTAAAATCTGTTTTTTTCAAAGTGAAATAAAAAAATATTGAAATAAAAAACACAACTTGAAACCAGTGACCTATGAGCTGCACTGGAATATACGCCACAAATCAAAGTCTCGCCTCACGGGGGCCGGGCCTCCTCCTACACTTTAATAGTAGCGACCCGGCCCCCGACTCTCCCGATGCACCTGCCCACTGTGGTTATTTGCCCCACCAATGAGCCTCCGTATAGGCCGGGAGGGGCCAACCCTTGTAAAGCAGCCACCGGGGACACGAGACGCAGGGACCACTGGGAGACCAATAACAAACATCTGCTCATTATCTCTGCAACCAGATATGAGGAAAAAGGGTCCCACGTGATCAGACCATCAGTCTGTTAGCTTTTACAAGTGTTTTACAGGCATTAAACTGAAAACTGATTATGTGTTCTATTAAAAATGTTAATTTTCCACAGAGCGTGGTAACATGGGAAACTGGAATTGATCATAAATAAATATTTGGACACATTTTCTACTACTATAACCAAACCACAAGTGAAGATGAACAGAAAGTCACAAATTATATCTGATAATAATTAATTAGTCAAACTTTCATTAATAATAATAAAACAAGACAATAACATGCAACAACCTTTAGATATTCGTGGAAATTAGACATAGGATATGAAATATAAAAAATAAAAAATAATAATTTCGAATAAACAAAAAATACTCTGAACAACGGCTCAATCCGCGAATTCACAAATAAGAGGAAAAAGTTGAGACACTGCAATGACTCGCAAAAGTTTAAAATCTCTAGTCGAACGATTGTATCGGACGATGTGCGTTCTCCACTCCGGCCACTAGAGGGAGACAATTTAGGGGCTCCCAGGGAAACTGTCTCTTTGACTTTCTTTGTTTCATCATATACAGTACGTGTTGTTCAAACTGTGTACTTTAGGGTTATTTAAAATATTTTTTAGGTGGACTTATAAAATATTTTAGAAAACCTAGAGGTGATGAGGGTGAAGTACAGCACGTAGGCCAACACGTCTGTGTGTGTGTGTCAGTGTGTCAGTGTGTCAAATGGATCTGAGCGACGGTTGATCTCAAAAATAATATCAACATATCAGCTAACGATGTCCGCAGATGGAGTGGCCCGTCCACGGGTCAGATGGGCGCCTTTACCTTTGAACTCTGCCGTGCTGGGGTTGATGTGCATCCTCTTCTGACACTCTCCACAGCTCATTAGGAACCGAGTCACCGCCTCTCTGGGCAGGAAGGCGTATGTCTCAGCTATCTGTGAAAGACGAGTGAGCAGAGGAGTCGGAGTTAGAGAGAAATGAAAAAAAACACTCAGGATGTGGCGGCGCTCAAACTGTGTGCAGGTGTTTTTACTGCATGTGGAAGTTGGGGGTCGGTGATTATATGTTATCTTGACGTGACATGAGGAGGAATCCTCCCTGTGGGCCGTCGCTCCTGCACGTGGATGACCTCGTTCCAGCGCCAGCTCTAAAACTCCAGCTGTACGGAGCTTTTATTTTTGTTTTTCCCTTCCTGCCCTCTGAGCTCTCTCTCTCTCCCATCCTCCCTTTTCTCCGTTCGTCCCTGCTGCTGTGCCACCCTCCACCCTCCACCCTCCCTCTCCTCCTCGCCCCCCTCTGGCGTTTTGCTGTAAATCGCGACCTTCACATGACCATGGGGAGACAGCGGGGGTGCCCATCCCCACCGGCCCACCGCCGTCGCCTCTGCCAGTGCTATGACCCCTTCAGGCAGAAGAGAGGGGCAGGCCTCCCTGAGGAGCGTGCACTTCCCAGAAGGCCACAGTGACAGAACCGTATTACGAGCTGCCCCGGCGATGCTGCCTCCTCAAAAGGCTGCGCTCTATGAGACGTGACAGAACTCTCTACAGGGCAGGAGACGTTGGCTGTACGCCTGTATTTTTAACGACAAGAGCAGGATCAGCAAAGCACAGCCAACCCCACCCCCGAACACCAGGGGCAGTGTTGTCCAGTGTGTCAGGACCCCCACATTTAAACTGAGATCAGAGTGTGGTCAATAATAAATTATTATTTTTTGGCCACGAAACATTAAGAAACAAACAATTAATTTGTGATCTTAATTCTCTCATCTTCTTACTCAAACTTTGAGGAGGTCATATCACGGGTGTCAAACTCATTTTGCTTCAGGGGCCACATTCAACCTAATGGTCTTAGTGACCTGGACCAGTGCAATGGCAACATAATTACCTATAAATAATGTCCAGATGTTTCCTCTTTGTTTTCATGCCAAAAAGTACAAATCCTAATTATGTGATTATATTTTTTATAGTCAATATAGTGAAATATAATTTCCTGAACATGAAGTGTACTTCTTTATTTTTATTAAAATTCATCAAGCGGGCTAGATTGAAACAACAAGTGGGCCGGTTTTGGTCCGCGGACCGCATGTTTGACACCTCCCTGGGTTATCCTGTAATAACCCTGTGTGGACGGTTTCCTTCACTCACCGCCTTGTAGGTCTTCTTTTGACCTGCGTGCTTCGGCGCTCTGCCAGGGTCGGCGCCCATCTCCACGTGCATGGCATAGATGATGTCAAAGAAATCTTCGACCACAGCGACGCGCTTCAGGGAGGAGTTGTCCTGGGCTGAATTTCCATCTGAACACTGAAACAGAGAGAGAGAGAGAGAGAGAGACTGGAGGTCAGTTTAAAGTTTGACCTCTGACTCACGTGTCAACGTCTACAGATACATGTACACGCTGAAATGACTGATGGGAAACGTGTCAGGTTGTTGACTGACTGATTATATGACGATGACAACATTTTTGCTCTCTTTCGTTATCTAGAAGCCACAAATGTTTTTGTTTTAAAAACCACAGCCAGGATGAATTTGGTCCAATCACAGACATCAGATATTCTGTCACAGAATTGTCACCAATCGAAATCCGGCTGAAGGGCTGCATGTGGCGCAGGAGCCACAGGTTGAAAAACTCATTTCTAAGAGCTCCATTAGTTCATAACCAGCAATGCTTCCCCCTGGTGGCACAAGTGTAACTTCTGTCCTTGCATGAGTTTAAAAAGTTACATTTTTTTTTTTCAAAATTTGTTAGGGTCCCTTTATACTCTGGGTGTCAAACATACGGGATGTGGGTCAAAACCGTCCCGCTAGGGGCTTCAATCCGGCCCAGTTGATGAATTTTAAAAATCAAAATATACACAAACACAGGTTCAAGATACGATTAACAGATTCAAGATACGATTAGTAAAATTTCATTAAACATTTCATTTATCCAACAGTAAAATTATATTTCATTAAACATTTCATTTATCCAACTTACTTGGACTTCTTTGAATGAAAACAAAGGGGAAAAACATGTTATGATTGTACTGGTTGACGTATAATTGTGAACCAAACTGCGTTTGACGCCCGTGCTCTACACCTGCCCCCCCCCGTCCTCCCCCGAATCCTTCTTCTTGGGTCACCTCTTCCATGAGTTAGATTAACTCCGTGCACCAACACCGTACCAGAGCCACGGTCCCTCCCACCGGCGGCAGCCATTCTGCCTTCGCGTATCACTGACCCTGTCACCATAGAAACTACCAGTGATTTCTCCCGGGCAGGTGTGCTGGGCAAAGGGTCACGTGACACGGCATAGAATGCGATCGCTAGGACAACACCCTCCATCTACAGCACCACATGGGGCTTTCAGTGTTTTGTTTTTTTTTTTACCGCCACCATGTTTATGAGCTACGTGTAACTCTTATCACACAGCGATCGACACTTTGAACATTTTCTTTCCACATCCCTCCACCCGCTGATATTGTCAAACATCGAGTCAATCAGCAACCATAAAACTGAACTAATTGATTTGAGTTTTTGATTAGTTTTGCTCCTTCCACTTCCAGAGCGTACTTCCTCCACCCGAATGAGGCGTCATGTTCTCGGTCCCCTGGAGAGTGGCTTCGAGGAGTGGAGGGATTTTTTTTTAATTCACTGAATGAAGATCCAGAGTTCAGAAAATTCCTCTCCTCTACCTCCATCTCTCCATCCCATTCCTTTGTCCATTTTTTCTCGCTCCTTCTCTCTCTCTCTCTCTCTCTCTCTCTCTCTCTCCTCCCTCCTTGTCTCTTTTCTTGCTCCTGCTCTCCCAAGTGCGAGGTAATGATGGTTGCTATGGCAACTAAAACCAGCCTACAGAGCAGGTTTGTTTTAATCCGGCTCTCTCTCTCTCTCTCTCTCTATCTTTTTCTTGCTACCACTGTCCCCATCCCTCTCTCTCTCCCTCCCTCCCTCCCTCTCTCTCCCCCTCTACCCCTCGCTCTCTCCCCCTCGCTCTCTCACCCTCGCTCTCTCCACTCCCCTGTCAACACGGTCTAAATGTAACTGTAATGAATTAAATAATGGCGATCCTGCACCTCATCATCACAGCTGTAATCCATCTCAGTATCATCATCATTCCCCCGGTGACATCATCACCAGTGCCGCATCTCACGCCACCACCGCCGCCGCTGCTGCCTGTGACAAAGGTGTCAGGTCCCGTTCACCCCGGATTAAGATAATCTCCCACCACCGTGGGGTTCGGAGAGCAGCCACACGGTGGCACGTCCTCCGCCACATTCTACCCTGGCAAAATGTAAGGGGGGAGAGAGGGGAGAGGGAGGGGGTTCTTTGACCTAAAATTAAAATCTTCATAGGACCTTTACTGCCGGGTCGGCCTGGACTAACATTCGTTTGCAGGGATGTGAACCTGTAAAGTCGTTCTGTTTCAATGGCTTGTGTCAAACTTTTGTCCCAGAAACAAAAACACGGATCAGTCGGTGAAGACGAGGCATCAGTTTATAACACAATCACAATCACACACACTCACATACAGAGTGGTTTCATAGTGTAGTGGTTATCACGTCTGCTTTACACGCAGAAGGTCCTGGGTTCAAGCCCCAGTGGAACCACACTCTTAATCCTCTTTGTGTAAAGGTGTTTGGATTAAGAAAAGATATGTTTTTTATATATAAAAGAATATTAAATATGATGATATGATACTTTATTTATCAGGCAGTAAAAGTCCTTTCAGACACTAGACTGTGGACAGGGAGTAATTTGTGACAGTTTTCATTAACAAACTTTGAGTTTTTAGTTTTACTGAAATACTAGAATAATTCAGGTCTAATAATGACATGATGGTACTTTAGCTTGGCATTACAAGTACACAGGCAAATGCAGTACACGGCCTGTATCACTTTGAGCAAATACTATGTTTTCAAGTCTTTTTAAACATGCTGTACTCCAGAAGAGTGATCTGGCCCGCAGTGTAATTATATTTGGCCCTGAAGATCATATCAAACGTGTAGTAGAGTTGGCCCGACAGTATATGGCTCCTATATTTGAGCTATGTTATAGTACATATATTTTTTTGTTGTTGTTGTTGTTGAGAATTGTTTGTTGTTGTTAGTCTGTGCAAAAAAGATTTACATTAAAAAGGAACTGGAAAGACCAGTGTTTTTGTTCTAATTTAATTTCTCATGTGTTTATAATACTCTACATTACAGATCTGGAGAGAATTTTTGTTTGGCCCATGACTTTGTCCCAGTTTTTAATTTTGTCCCACTGTGGATCTGAGTTTGACACTCCTGCTTTAACGGTTCTGCTTTGACAATTTAACAAATGCAGAAACAAATCACAACAAATATAAATAAATATATAAATTCATCGATAGACAAAGAAGAATAACTTTTGGCCTTTGTCTGATGTCACATTAGTGACACAGCGTTAAAATCAACAGCCCTATTGGAATTGAACCCTACACACTGGACCCTTTAGGTAAAGGTTGCCGTGTGTGTGTGTGTGTGTGTGTGTGTTTTCCATCAGCTTCCACTCCTGTTTCCTCACTGGAGTCTGTTTCACTGCACAGAAGTTCTATTTTTCCACAGTCAAAGACCAGAATCTGAGTACAACGGCCGCTCTCTTTGTTTCACAGTAAGGTGCACGTCCACCAGGTGGAGTTATTAGCCGAAGCATCTCGATGGAGAACAGCTGTTGAATAGCGCTGCTAGCTACCGCCGCTTTTTCTAAAGAGCAATGGAGACGTGTCAACATCTATAATTGCCACCAACACGGCAAAACTCTTCTTCTTCCTCCTCCTCCTTCTCCTTCTCCTCCTCCTTCTCTCCATCCTTCTAATCCTGAAGGACTTTGCTCTCCCCAGCCACAGTGCAACCAGCCCCCATCCCTGTCCCGCAACAAACCGCTCTGTTGCTAGGAGACTGGAGGGGTTGAGTCGACTGCCCCCACCCCCGCTAGCGGTTACACACACATGTACACACACACACACAGAGAGTCACTACGGGGAGAGAGGAGCAGTCCTGCACACAGGCAGGTCAGAGGGAGGAAAAAGAGGAGGGGCGGGGTTTCAACGGGGAAGCAGCTGGGTCACAAAGACAGGCCGGCGAGTGTGAGAAGACACGAGAAATTAGCTTCACGATGAAACAGGGAGACAGGTGGAGAAGGTGGAGACAGTGGTGGGATTGTTGTACGCCAAGCGAAAGGTCCCGTGTTCAAATCTACCGATTCGCAAATCCCCCCCCCTCCCTGCCTCACCAGGGCATCTGGGTAAAAAACTGTGCTGAAATGAATTCTGATGAAAGAAATGTTAAACATAATTCCCTCGTTCACCAGACATGGGATTCGAACCTTCAGTATTTGACCTGTAACTTCAGCCCAGAGGCGAGACAAACAGCAGAGACACAGAGGATCTCTGTTGTTACGCGTTTACTCCGTGTAAACACGGCGTGCAGCGTCCTTCCTGCTTTTACTTCCTAACATTTAGATTTCAATCTTACTAATTAGCCTCAGGATATCAGGGACGAGCTGAACAACGCGTCTCAACCAAAGATTAATCGTAGCAAGGCTGCTATATCCCTGAGCATCGGTTCTCAAATGGGGGGATGCGTTCCCCTAGTGGTACACAGAGGGGTTACATCATGTAAAGAAGACCGAGAACTGCTGTCCCTGAAGACCTCTTTGACCTGTGGGTGTGAACACCTCCAACAACGAAGCAGCAAAACCACATAAACAACAACAACAACAACAACAACAATTCAAAGACTTTACAACTACTGTCTCGCCTTAAACGATCGTAAACGGTCAGTAAAATGTTAACCTAGTAAATGTTCCAGAGATTTTGGTTACATCTGTCCCGCCTTAAACGATCGTAAATGGTCAGTAAATGTTCCAGAGATTTTGGTTACAGCCAATGAACACCTCACCATATAATTCAACTTGACTTGTTTGGAAAAAAAAACAAATAAATGTCCGATGTTTATTCTTGTAGGAAATTCCTACGTGCTCTACATTAGGGACGAGCGTTTCTGCCGAAAGACGAATTACACCGTAAATATCTTAAGTTGAGGCAGCTGTGATGAGTGTGCAAGTACTTGGTGTGTGTGTGTGTGTGTGTGTGTGCTGCACTCAGATGGCTGTGTCAACACTACTCATGACTCAGATTATCTCACTGCAGATGTGACAACAGGTCATCTTTTAAAGCCTCGTCTTCCTTCTGTAAATCCATCAACTGGCTAATGGGAACATAAATGGGACAACCCTCATCTCTCTCTCTCTCTCTCTCTCTCTCTCTCTGTCTGTCGCTCTCTCACTCACACTCTCTGTTG